ACTAACCCCAAATCAACATCATAACATATACAAACACTTCCCCACATCTAGCACACTTCAAAAGATATTCAATAGCAACACAGTAAAAATCAGCTATCTTTGTACCGAGAATATGACACAAATTTATAAAAATCACATCAGAAATAATGCAACAAACTACATTCAAAAGTATGTAAAGGAGAAAAAGGAGTCATTATGTGGGAGTGATGCTAGAACTGTGAAATGTTACATGCATTAATTTTAACTCTTCGTATAAATAATTGCATTGTTTTCTTCTTTCTGGTTGTCCAATCTAGACTTCAAAAGTAACTAGCAGCGACTTATCTTGGAAATTAACAAAATTTGGCATCAAGTACTTGCAGGAAAAAGGGTTTTTTTCCCCAAGAATATTCATACTGCCATGGTTGCTACTTGATAAGTGATAACGCTTCAGCTTTATCAACAGTGCAAAAGTGGGCAGCTGAATTTTGGATGAAAAGAGAGAGTCTTGAAGTTGACCCAAAGTCTGGATATCCTGCAACTGCCATCACCGATCGTATTCACCATATGTTGATGTACAGGCGATTGACTATAAATGAAATAGTCAATACTATTAGTATATCCAGTAAGAGAGCTGAGGATATTCTGCACCATATACTTCACGTCTTCTGACACATGGTCAAAATGGCACCAGACTGATCACATCATTGGAATCTGACGGCAAACATGGACCTGAGTGCTCAAAAAAAAAACAAAAAAAAAACGCAATATCAAAAGGACAGATTTTCCCATGATACCATTTTTATTTTCACTACCATCATCCTTCGGCAATGTTTATTGTTTAAAAAGGCGATGATTTGAATTAAAATAAAACTTAAACGTATGTTGAAAACGAATTTATACATTTTTTTCTTCAGTATCTGTCTATATTTCTGAAATGAGGTATTATGTACATTATTTACATTATTCGGACTATTATCCTCATCTTTGTCGCCATATTTACTACGTTTCGGCCGTTGTACGCTCCGGCCTTCTTCAGGTGGTACCCCAGTGAGCGAAATAAAGGGTTCAGTTCGACATTCTAACCACCTGAAGAAGGCCGGAGCGTACAACGGCCGAAACGTTGTAATAAATATGGCGACAAAGATGAGGACAATAGTCCGAATAATGTAAATAATGTACATTTTTTTTCTTCTTGAGAATTTACAACAGAAATATTATAGACTATTTATTTATTGGAGTGTTTATTTAGAAGAATAATTTTATATTTACGACATTAACTTAACTAATAGAATTAGAATTAATGCAATACAATATTTATTGACAAATTTATAAGGAAATAAATGTGAAAACGATTTTTTATTCATAAATTTATAAACATTTACTAAAATATTAAAATATTTGAACCAACTATAAGGAAATCTTTTTATTTACCATTTTATAAAGTTCGAATCAATTGCTAATTAGCGATGTTTTGCCACCCATTCCAATAAATAATCTAATAAATAGTGTAAAAAAGAATCTAATAAATAAATAGTGTTTATTATTTAGTTGTCAATTTTCAAGAATAAAGAAAATGTATAAATTCCCTTTCATATGTTTAAGTTTTATTACAATTCTAATCATTGCTTTTAAAACAAACATTGCCGAAGAGTGACGGCAGTTAAAAAAAAAAAAAAGCGGTGTCACAGGAAAACCGTCCTTTTCCCCATTCCGTTTTTTTTTTTTTTTTTTTTTTTTTTCTCGAGCACAAAGGTACATGTTTACCAATCCGACATCGAGAAAAATCCTAACCCAAGATGAGTGTTGGGTTCACCACTTTGAGCCAGAGATAAAAAAAGACAATCCATGTATTGGAAACACTCCCACCTCACCTGCTCCAAAGAAGGCTAAGGTCGTTTCTTACGCAGGCAAGGTTATGGCTTTAGTTTTGTGGGTTTCAAAAGGCATTGTTTTTATTGAATATCTTCAAAAAGGCCACACCATCAATGAAGAGGACTTTCTGAGGTAGTTACAAAGGGCTATGAGGGTCAAATCACCCAGAAAAACTGATGAAAGGAGTCGTTTCATCAGAACAGTGCTACAATACACAAGTCTTTGATGTCAGTGGAGACTGTGGCTTTGAACCCTGTTGATCACACTCCCTATTCTCCTGATTTGACTATCATCTGTTCCCCAACATGAAAAAAATACTTGGCTTGGAACCAGTATCGCAGTGATGATGACGGCATATTTTAGTGTTTTACCAACAGGATGAAAGCTTCTTCATCAATTGGATCCAATCACTGCACCGATTGAAGAGTTGTATGGACTGCAAGGGGAATTATGTTGAAAACTAAACCTCATTTGGTCACTTTACATGAGAGTATCTTGGTCAGCCTCTGAACTTTTCAGCCGACCCTCGTATTATTTTCTTTTTTAAGGCATTCGTTTGTTTTGGAAAACATCTTCAGATCCGACGGTAAAGATGAGTGCCTTTCTGTTGCATCTACAAGGGTAATTTGTATTATGGTAAAATATAGATCCAAAAATCATTTCGAAGAGTCAGTCATTGTTGTGGTTCCGGATCATACAACGGAAATAGAATTATCACGTTATAATAGAATTATCACATTATAATAAAATTATCACATTATAATGAGAGATTCTTAAAGGTCATTTGAATTGCGCTCTCATTATATTGCACATATTAAAAAAAATATGGTGATAGTTATGAAACTGTTTCACTTGTTAAGCGGTTTCTGTCTTCACTAAGTTCCCTATAATTGTACTCTTGTACTAGATTCAATAAAACGGTGTCAATTTCGAGCCATTTCGCCTCGACAAAATCATATGAAAAAGCCAATAGGTTTCGTTGTCTAATTTTATCAAGCTAAACCAAATAGAGATATAAAATTCAAATACTGTAGTCCTGATTTGAAACTCAGACCTCCGGGTAAACAGAAAACCGACAAAGCTTTTAAATGTCAGTTATCCATTTCCTTGTCATCGTCATTGGGTTTATTCATTTATATGCTTCTCTCAGGGTTTTACTTTTCTGATGATGATGCGATTAAATATCGAAATAGATACTAAATCAATCACGATTTTTATTCCTTAATCGAACTGTGTTTGTCTTAAAGGAAGTTTTTCAGCTATACTTTCATCTTTTAAATTTATAATTGTCTGAAGGATAAGACATTCGATGTCTTTTTTAATGTTGATAATATTATGGAAATTTTCGCATGTTCAGATTTAAATATTTATTTTTAAAATTCAAAAGCAATTGCCATATCTGTATAAAAAAAAAATCCTGTAAGCTAAAATAAACCTCCCGTGGATCCTGTGATCTGACCTGGCCACCGCTACTTGGCTTAACACCGCCACAGCTTAACTTCCGGGGATTAGCGTTACGATAAAATAAAAAAGTAAACACGTGATATTAACTGTTTTGCATAACTGGTCTTCCTTGCAGTTTTAACTTGCGTCAAATTACGCAAACATCTGAAAAGAGACGCTGCATAGGAAAAGTTTAAGACCACCTAATCTACAAATTGCAATCAGAAAGAGCCTTCGACAAAGTACGCCACAAGGATTTGAAGGAACTGCTCAGTAACTTTGATATATTCGGGAGGGATATCAGAATAATCAAGAACTTATACTGGCAGCAAAGAGCATGCATACGCATAGGAAACGAATTCAGTGAAAATACAAAAATAGAAAGAGGCGTAAAGCAAGGATGCGTCTTCTCACCTGAACTGTTCAACCTATACAGCGAGGCAGTTCTGAGAGAACTGGAAACCGTACTGGGATTCAGCACTGGCGGCCACAATCTTAACATAAGATACGCAGACGACACAGTACTGATAGCAAACACGGAAGAGAAATTACAAAATTTCCTACAGAAGGTAGCAACGGAGAGTGAGAAGAAAGGACTAAGTATAAACTACAAGACAGAATGCCTGGTCATCAGTAAAAGAGCCCGAAATGTGATTTGCAGGTCGGGAACACTAGAATCAAGCAGACGTGGAAGTTTAAATATCTGGGAAGCGTCTTGACAGAGGACGGTAGGTGCGACACTGAGATCCGTAGACGTATTGGGATGGCCAAGGACGCATTCCAAATGTTGAGTAGAGTATTGCGAGACAGGAGGATTTCTTTGATAACAAAGAAAAGAATACTGAGCTGTTACGTGACATCGGTTCTTTACGGAAACGAATGTTGAACGATTTCCTTAAAGATGAAGAAGAGACTCGAGGCGACGGAGATGTGGTTCTACAGCAGGATGCTAAGGATATCATGGACCGAGCATGTGAGCAACGAGGAGGTCTTAGAGAGGTTACAAACAGGGAGAAGATTTATACTTTCTAGAACACATAGTGAGGAAGGAGGGCCTGGAGAATCTGATACTCACGGGTCAAATAGATGGAAAGAGAGACAAGGGAAAACAGCGCGTAACATACCTGACGAGCTTGAGCAAGTGGATGTCAGAACGTGGTCTGGGGGAGGAAGCAAAGGGAAGGAGCTTGCTGAGAGCTGCAAGGGATAGAGGGAAGTGGAGAGCCATGATTGCCTACGTCCTGAAAGGACATGGCACATAAAAAGAAAGAATCTACAAACATGCTTTTCGGAGTTACTTCCATCTTTTAACTGATTGTTACTGTACGTGTTAACGCGGTGTATTGCCTGGGTATCGTTTATTTTCCAAAATCCACACAAGATAACTTTTTTCCAAGCAATTTATCATTATCAATCAACAATGTCATTCTTCGCCTCTGAGTCGTATTACTTGTGAGGTGAAGGTGTTAGTTTGATAGGGTCCCGGGGACTAAATGGACATAGAGGCGATCAGGACTTTACGAAGGTGGGCGCTGTGAGAAACGCCTCGCCGTAGCGATCGGCTGTGGGGAAGTAAGATAAGGCGGTGGTTAAGGTGGCATAGAATTGATGAAGGTGGATTTGAAGATTTGTGGGTTGTGCCTGGGGCTGGGTGGAATGGAGGCTTTCGGGTTGAGGAATCGTCAACGAAGAACAACCAAGAGATGGCGTCCCAATTTCTCTCTCTTGCCAATCGGATTTTTTTTTTGTCTTCGTTTAGAATGGCTTTCATACCATTCGTCTCTGTCTTTCTGCACCTTTCTCTCTCTCTCTCTCTCTCTCTTTCTCTCTCTCTCTCTCTCTCTCTCCCTATCTATCTATCTACCTACCATATATATATAAAGAGAGAGAAAAAGAGAGAGACATGCAGAGTGAGACAGACAGACAGACAGAGGTAGAACGACTGGTTAGAACGATCGCTTTCTGAGCATAATACCCACGTTCGAAACTCACCGTGTTATCGGCTAGGGAAGCACTGGTAGGAAGTTCCTGAAAGTGGATTCAGGAAAATAAACCATATCATTGGCTGTCCCAAACCTTGTGAATGAAACTAGTTAGACGTAACCGTCCAGAAGTCGTCGATAGTTGTACTAACACAGAGTCACAAATCAACATGACCAAAAGTTTGAACGGCCTTGCTGCTTGCTCCAGATTAAGCGTTCTTTCCCACATAATGGAACTAAGGTCCGCACAACGTAGTTGCAGTAGAAACAACAGGTGAACTCTATGAATGTTGAATAATTACAAATTTGCCGGAGCAGTAGACTACAATAGGGATAGGCTGGGCGCCTTAGATCTGAAAAGAGCAGTCAGACATTATATATATATATATATATATATATATATATGGTTGGATAGATGTGAGTTTGTGACCCTAGGTTTCACGCTTTAGCGATCGTCAAACAAACTGATTAATTTTTTTAAAAATTTGGGTTTATGTAGATTGCGTGTATTGGTGTTATTGTGGAAGTGGTGGGGGAAACTTCGTCGCTTATGTCATCGTACTAACGCAAACATCGATGTATGCAGACACATATGCATACTTGGTCGTCCGTCGGGACTCATACATATATAAACATATGTGGGCAGTTTCGGATATGACATATGTATGTATACGGGTGGTGTTGTGTCTATACATACGCATTTGTATGTTGAAATTTAAATATTGGAAGTGTGGCGGAAATGTCTCGTGAATGTCTCGTGAATGTATACATGTCATATTATTTATTTTTCCGCTGAATAATATTTCCTCGCATGTATGTATATATGTGTGGTGGGGTTTGTGTAAAATTATGATAGGTAAAAATTATTATTATTTATATTTATTTTTAAATTTTTGAAAAAAATGGGGGTTTATTTGTTGTATTTAAAGCTGGTTATTTGTTTGTTTTTGGTGACTGTGTATATGTAACAGGTATAAATTTGTAATCCTTATTAGTTAATTTATATGGTGATGTTTAATATTTAATGTGCTGGGTGAGAGGGTAGTTTAATTTAATAACGGGTCTATATGATATGATGTGATGGTAATGTTGCAAGGGGTTGGAGACAATGATAATATAATTAGCTAATAGTTATTGTAAATTGGCAGAAATTGTAATTATTAACGTAAACTACCCCCTCTTCCAGCATATTTAATACCACCATAAAAATAACCAATAAGGATTACAAATGAAATTTCTACCTATCACATATACACAGTCACAAAAAAAAAGCAAGGAAATAACCAGCTTTAATATCATAACAATAATAATTTTGTAAATTAAAAATTAAAAATTTTAGCAATCTTCAACTACCATAATTTTACACAGAATACCTATTATCAGGATTTATACCAAAATAAATTAATACATATAACAAAATAAAATAAAATATAATAAAACACCAACAACCACTTTTTAGTTCAAACTACCACCACTAGCTACCACCACTATAACTACATTCATGGTTTTATCATTCTCCCACCACCGTTACTAATCATTTCTACCAATTTACAATTTTTTTAAAAATTAATCAGTTTGTCTGACGATCGCTAAAGCGTGAAACCCAGGGTCACAAACTCACATCTATCCAACCATATATGTTAGCAGACCATTTACTTAAATAAATTTTATCTATTAAAATAACGTATAAACAGAAAATATATTAAATAATTGTCGGACTTAATGTATATATATATATATATATATATATATATATATATATATATATATATATATATAATATAAAGTCCGACAATTATTTAATATATAATATATATATAAGATATCAAGGCGATCCATATAGCAGGCCTGGCAACAAGTCGACTGGCGTCCACGACTGTAAACGGATATGTGAAAGTTTAAATTACTACTAAATAACAATTCCTGAAAACATTTTTAGGAAGGAACTTGTTAGTAATATCCAGTAATTATTTAATTATCAACTATATATATTATGAATCATCTTACAATTATTGACTTATTTCCATAAATGCAAATGTACAAAGAAAGAACAAAAATACCATAAGATAACTAAATGCACAAAAATCAATTTATTCACTTTAAATTAGACATTTTTAGATAATATTGCAAAAATAATGAGTTAGTTTGTTTATCCCAATTGTGTACGGTAAATATAATTGTGAATAAAATCAGAAAGCAATTTCAGCATTTTACAAAATCGTGTATCAAGAAAGTCTGAAAATATTTTATGAAAAATGTGAATTTGAGAGAAACAATAATTTTGATAATCTTTACAAAATTTGTAATTTTTGTTACATGTACAAATTGTTTCACAGAAAATGAAGAAAATATTTATTTTTCCATGATACAATAATAGATTACCAGGACACATAGTTTTAAGAATAAAAATCAATTTACATTAACAAGAACACAAAATTTGGGGAGTTAACAATTACATATATGTAAAAAGAGGGAAAATTGAAAATAAAAATTATCTGGCATCCAGTGGAATTTTTAAATTGCCACAATCTATTTCTTTCAAATATGTTCATATTCTTGAAAATAAAAACTACTATTATTAAATATTTCCTCTTTTCTTGTAACATAGCCTGCTATATAAAAAAGTGACATTCTAATATCTTTAGGGATCCTAGTTTCAAGGTCTGGCATTCAAATGTTCGGCATCCCATCTCATCCAACAAATGTTCACATTTTGAGCAATTATGGTCTGGAACAAAGTTGTATTCTTTGACTTCAACATTTAAAGAAAAACATAAACTATTCATAAAAAATTTTTTTATACTTAATATGGTCATTGTCGAAGAAAAATAGACAAAAATATTAAATTTAAATTAACTTTATATGATAAATTCTTAATGACACTTGTGAATTTCGCATCGTAAAATATGCAAAGTTTAAATAAAATAAATAAATATTATACTTACTTCAGTATCATAAATAATATACTTAAGTTAATCCAAAGGTAAAACGTAAAAATTTCTTTTTTAAAAAATTCCAGAAATGAATTTTCGCATGTTACTGGTTTTAACTCGATTTCGCGGCCTGTGCTAAGGATTACCTATATATATATATATATATATATATATATATATATATATATATATATATATATATATATATATATATATATATTCTGTTTATACGTTATTTTTATACATACAATTTATTTCAGTAAATAAATGCTCTGTTTGTAATTAAACAGTATTAATTTATCGAACTGAGAGTTCCAGAAATTTCGTAGAAAATATGCGTTCTCCGACAGGAATCGAACCTGTATTCCGATGCAGAAACCGTCATATAATGAAATGAATTAAGTCCAACAATTATTTAATATATTTTCTGTTTATACGTTATCTATGTAAGCCTGTTCATTATCTATCTATTTATCTCAATCTGTTCATATCTATCTGTCTCATTTTATTAATATCTATCTTAATCTATATCTATCTGTCTGTCTATCACATATCTATCTATCTATACATTACGACGGTTGGAAACAGACTGAAGCCGAGATGCCAGGTCAGGATCAATAACGTTACAGATTCTCTTTAGAAATTTATCAAGAATCTCTAAATATATAGCAGAAGCACCAGACCATATGAGGCAGCAATATTCATAGCTTATAAATATGTTAGATAGATATTGGAGAGAAAAAATGGCTAAGATGACATAGTGAAGCAGCTTTCTTAGCAGCATACCTAGAAATTGGTTCAATATAATCTTTCTACTTCATGTCAGAAAGCCCGAGAAGGGGCGACGAGTCACTCTCCTGGAGGTTAGCCTCAGCCATGCCGATAGAAGATAGATAGTGGCGTAGCTAGTGGACGGACCGCCCCGGTGCCAGCACAGGAGGGGTGACACAATGTCACCCCCAACAAAATTTTTCAAACAGGCTAAGGTGCCAAAAATAGTCTGAAAACAGTGGTGAAGACACAGGGTTTCGCAGGCTGGCATATGACCCCCCCGAAATAATTTATGACCCCCAGTTTTGTCCTCCCGTCAGAAATTTTCTAATAAATTGTCGGGAAATTTGTGAGTAGGAAAAATAGCAATTTTTTCAGCTTTTGATTTGAACTGATTATTTTGTGGTATTGGATTTTGTCTTGGATCATACATTTAAACAGTAACGTACCGGTCAGTAGAGTAAAGTAGAGGTAGAGCATGTATGAAAATTTAGCTACAGCTAACCATTCAGCATAGGGTGAATCGGAGTCATTGGGGTGACATTTGAGCGGACCGCCCCGGGTGACGTTTACTCTAGCTACGCCACTGGATAGGGGTTTCCCAGATGATAGATAGAGAGAAGTTTCGTTTTGAAGTCGCTAAAATTAACAAACGATTCCTTGCCCCGATTAACAGCAGATTGTGGGTCATTTTTGAGATCAGCTGCCAATTTGACCTTTTACTCTTAACTGTGCTGTGGACATTGTGCACTCTTCCACTACTTGATCTGCTACGAGCTTAGCGAACGTCTAGACTAGGTAGACGTTTAACAATTGTTGCCAACATCGAAGCACTACCATTGCGTCTAGTTCAACACACGTCGCAATTCTTCGAAATGACTATCCACACCGTAAGATGACCCCCACCCAAACGAGGCTGTAATTAAACAAAAACGACACGTGTTTTTTTTCCGTTTGGTGACATTTGTTTGTGATGGAATCTTTCATGACATTTTGAACTTTATCGAAACTGTCTAATAGACACAGACAAGTTTCTAATAAATTCTTGAAAAACAGAAAATATATTTTGGGACAATCGTTCAGTGAAATTGCTTTTTCAAATCACACAAATATTTTCTTTCGTATATTCATAATAAAACAGAAATTTTAAGTGTTACTGTGAAAATAATAAAAGTATTATATATAATTTTAAAAAAAAGTCGACCACTTTAACGAACAAAAAATAATTTACGTTCACTTGGATCCACTAAGTATCCATTTTTGTCTGAATTTCTGGGATATGGAATTATCATTATTTACATGCGAACTATTGTCGACATCTGTTGTTGTTTGTTTCGTTTGTTGTATCCTCTGACTTTCATTAGATGCATGTCGGTCCAAGTAACCTGATGAAGGCCGGAGGATACATTGGCCGAAAAGATGTGATAACGACAACAACAAATAAGGACAATAGCCAACATATAAATAATATAAATATCTATAGCAAATTGTAGGACAGTACATGAAATGATTTAAATATATATAGATTCGTGTTTACATATATATATATATATATATATATATATATATATATATATATATATATATATAATTATATAATTGGTATATACGGGATGAATTCCAATAACCAACAATTACTATTCTTAAAAGAGTGCTCAATACAAAGTAGAGCAGATATAATTATTATTTATAAAAAATTATAACATAAGTATGTTATAAAATCACTACAAAAATAGCCATTTTCAAGACACCGAGGGTGTTGAAACAAAATGGCTATTTTTGTAGTGATTTTTTAACATACTTATGTTATAATTTTTTATAAATAATAATTATATATATATATATATATATATATATATATATATATATATATATATATATATATATATATAATAGTAATTATCTTATAAGTATAAGAAATTATATTCGTCCGAAAACCTTCGGTGTCTTAATTTGCGAATAATCAAACCAATACCAAAGGGAAAAAAAGGTATAAAAAAAAAAAAAAGAATAAGGAAGATGTGCGTCAGCCGAAAATAATCGTCTAGCATGCAAGTCCAAAGCCCAAAGAAAAAACCCCGATGTGAGTAAGGTAAATAACTGAATAAAGTGTTCAATACGTTAAATAGAGCAGACCTGAATAAAGCAGATTTGAATAAATGGTTAACCGCCCCCCCCCGTTGTTTGAGTCCCCCACCTATTTTTTGTTGTTGGTAACGTGGTTATGATTTTATGTTTATAGGCTATAAATATTCCGTTCTTTCGTTACCTTTTTAGCCAGCCTTCCCTGACGATCCGGTTAGGTGAAACCTTGGTAGGTTTTCTGGCTCTCTAGGTTTAACTATATATATATATATATATATATATATATATATATATATATATATATATAGATAGATAGATAGATAGATAGATAGATAGATAGATAGATAGATAGATAGATAGATTCTAGCAGATTATTATTTTTAGAGAATTGTATTTCTCCTCTGATTTCCTCATTTTGACCTTTGAGGTCAGATACAGGAAAACAAAGGAAGTTGTTTTTGATTGGCTAAAACTAGCGCGGGAATGTTGGATGTAGAAAGGATGTAGAAAGGGGTTTCACGGAGTTAAGCCTTACACATCTAACACTGTAGACGTCTTAAAATCGTGTCTGGAAACTGCTCCCCAGTGGGGTGGGATAGTTAATTAGAAGATGTACCCGTCGACGTAGTGAATAAAAATAGTTAAGATTTAAAATTCCCTTTGGTTGATGTCTCTTTTATCACCGAACGGCCAGCAGCCAATAAAGAAATAATATTGGAGTTGATTCCATAATAACATTGCGAAGGCAATGTTATTATGGAATCAACCCCAGATCGATGGGTGGGGGTGAATACAACATTCTTAGTGAATATAATAATGCTGCTTCCTGGATAGTTTCAATTCCTTTTCTTTTTTTTACGTATTTCAAATTCTTCTAATCTTTTTGCAAAGAACTCCAGGAATGCTTCAAGACATCTGAAAATAGTGAGTACTATTATTAGTGAACCTATTTTTTATGCCACGGTGATTACCAAATGAATGGTTATGAATGAAACTCATTTCATTCATAATCTGGTATCAATCGTTATTTATTTAAAAAAAAAAAAAAAAAAAAAAAACGTCATAATAAGTAATCAAGTTCAAAATCGAAACTTCCAATCATTTTCGAAAATCATCGAATAAACTTTTCTTTCATTTTTTTTTTTTTTTTTTTGTCTTTTTCTTTCAGTCTTTCTTCTCTCATTTCGAATCTACCTTGTAATTTCCTGAGTGTATGGATAAAAAAAAAGAAACACTGATGCCTGAAAATGATTTTTCTCAATTCAGCTTTTGAGCTTTTCATCGGAAAACAAAAACGACTACAAATGAGCCAACACAAAATTGCCTTTTCAATCATTTCGTATTTCCAAGCTAGTCGCATTTTTATCATTTCAGCGAATCATTTATGTAACTGCAACAAACTTGAAATGAATTTACTTCGTTTTTTTTTTCTTGTCAATATTGCAAACATTCTCCTGAAACATTGAAGCAATACATTTTATTTTTACGTTCATGAGAATAAATGTCATAATAGAATCCCTTTAAAAATTATAAGTGATTATTTGAATCATTTAATTCATTATAATCAATCAATTTCAGTCACGTAATTAATTAGGAAAATAATTTTTATTTTTTAATGTTCTCAGCGACAGAAATACATTCAGGGGTGGATTTCAAATACTTAAATCTTTATTTTTTGTAAACAGGTTCTTTTCATTCAATTCGGGTAGTTTATGCTTATTCAAATATAAAATGATGCTCTGAATATTATGGTATTGTTGTTTGCCAGTTAAACGATTCAACATTGGTAGCGGCAATGATAACAAAGCGTACATGTAAAAAGGAAACAAAAAGATCGATATTGGAGATAAAAAAAAATATTATCATTACCAACATTATACATTTTAGTATTTAAATTTATCAGGTACATTTAAATGTATTCAATAATAATAAGAAGAAGACGAATACCTTAATGTACACATTCGGAAAATATCTAGAATACACCGACCTTTCAACTTTTAAAACGCATGAAGATAATTCCATATGCAATTTACGAACGTCCCACCCCCTGGGAAATAAAAAAAATGACAGGCGAGTTACATAAGATTTATACTAAACTATTTGATAAATGGTTGTTACTAACTAATCAGCTAACAAAGTTATAGGGAAAAAGTCAAGATGGGCACGATTAACAGCATGCGACTGACGTTCGCTTGCATTCCATAAACGCTGATGGCGTTTCACTCGCATTGTCGCGTTGATTACAAGTACAAACTTACTTTCTTAAGACAAGCGACGTTTATACATAGACTTTTTTAATACTTGTATGTATTTTTAAATAAAACTTGAAAAAGACATACTGTCGAAATATTGTTAAACATTATGTCTTTTCTTTTTCTTTTCTTAAATCGCGTTCTTCTCTTAAGTGTTGCAAACTACTGGAAGAGTTACGACAATCATTTTTTGTTAATAATAATAATAATAATAATAATAATAATAATAACAACAACAACAAGAACAAGAAGAAGAAGCAGAAGAAGATACTGGTGCCTAAATAAAGAAAACCCCAGGTAATCAATTTTTATTTGTAATACACGAGAGTATTAATTGGTACTGCTCACATATTTAGAAAATCTCTTTCAATACAATTCGCTCTATAACTTCATAAGAAAAAAACTTTATCTCAGGTCTCAGGTGAAAGATTTTGGAAAAGATGCTATCAAAATAATAATAATAATAATAATAATAATAATAACAATAATAATAATAATAATAATATAAGGTTCCGATAATCTCGTTGAAGGGATTCCTGGTAGCCCATGCTTTAAAGAAATACAAAAAATTGTACTCAGAAGGATAGCTCACACATTATGAAGAGCTTTATCCATGTAAAATATGTGTGATCTTAGGGTTTTTTGTTTTTTTCTTTTTTGTTTTTTACAAAATTATTAGTGGAAAATGTCATGGAGCCATTTCTGACCTTAGGTCTCTGGTTGGGACCCGGAAGGAAATGTGAATGAAATAATAATAATAATAATAATAATAATAATAGACCAGACATAGTCATAAAAGATACCTTATCAACATGATCATACTGTCTGGTTAAAACATTTCAGCAAAGAATTTGATAAACTCTCCAAATATAATATGAAACAGCAAATCAGCAACATCAACAATAATAATAATAATAACAACAGCAACGATAATAATAATAATAATAATAACAAGAAGAAGAAGAAGAAGAAGAAGAAGAAGAAGAAGAAGAAGAAGAAGAAGAAAAGAAAAAAGAAAAAGAAGATGATTGTGTTAATGAGTAATGCTCACATACATTAAAAAGATAAATTCCTCAGAAAAATTTTAATTTGCCTTCAACCTGAAGTGAAAAACTTTGTAAATGCTTGGATCAAATAGCTTATTCAAAGAAATAATAATAGTAATGACAATACTACTATTACTATTACTACTACTACTACTAATAATAATAATAATAATAATAATAATACGACAAGTTGACAGAGGAGGTGAAAAAGATTTTAAACGTTGGTAATCATTTTTCATAAAACAAAGATTTTATTATTATTATTATTTATTTATATTCTGAATTATTTAGAAACTAAATTGTAATTCTTTGTCCTGCTGCCACTGAATCGCGGTAAAAATTTAAATATGTCTACTGTTGATCATTTGGTCGATTCAACATTGGAAGGAAGATACATTCAAAACGCAAAGTACGTACGCCGGAATATACGCATTCTTTTTTCTTTCTTTTTTTTTTTTTAATTAAATAAAGGACTACATTTAAGCCTGTTAAGGTAAAAGAATAACAATAATTAGTCAGAGGTTCCATCGTAGATAGATGAGGTACTTCAACATACTTTGGGAAGGAGAAGGGAAAAGAAACAAGGATAAAAATAACAGCACTTCTTTCGAGAATTGAGGAAAATGTAGAGCACATATGAAGGTGTTACCCATGATAATAGGAGCACTTGCAGGCGGGACTGGAATTATTAAAAATTGGCAAAAAGATTGAAATTACCAAAATATGAATTCGATCGCTACTCGGTACACCATTCTTCTGATCCACGTCACAGAAATATTTCTCGCCAATATCAGACATTGAAGAGAGTGTTCAAGCAAAAGATAGGATTTCAAATCTTTCTTCTCCGTTTCACTCTATTTGTCTTTATGACATACAAAGCCCAATAAATATCAATAATAATAATAACAATAATAATAATAGCAACTAGAAAGCCCCGTGAAAAGTTCACGGTTTACTGATTTTAATTTTCCGATGAATCTTAATTCTTCAGTTAATGATTGAATTCATGTCGAGCTCTATGACAATATGCGTAGAAATTCCCCTATCGCATCGTTAAATATTTGATCTTAACAACTTTAACCAAAATATTACAATAAAAATCATAAATATGAATGCTGGTTGCTATTTTAAGAAGTGGGTACAAATGAAAAGATTTGAAATTGACAACTGTTTCCATTTCACTGAAACAGACGTTAAACATTTCTACGGACGAGTAATGGATAGCGGTTCGGATTGAGGAATCTGAGAGCCGAGTTCGAATTCCAGTCGAATCCATTATGTTCACTTACGGTATGAATCCTCTTCTTCTCTCCTCAGCTATGGGTTAATAGCAGGACAGACCGGGTTCTATAGCCTTGGATGGCAACTAGTCTACCGCAGAAAGAAATGGCAACCTGCTGCGTGAACAAATCTGCCTCGTCAGTCATGTATCGAAAGATACATGATCGCCTAAACGTGTATCACGCATGGCACATAACTAACTGATCTTCCCCTCTTTCTTTCCTTCTTTTATTTTCTTACTGAAACCAAGTAGCGTATGTCTTTTGTTTTTCTACGCAATCAAAATGGAATAGCCCATCATTTATGAGGTATTGGCAAGAGACTTCTATCTTCCTTTCTTTCTTCCTAGTCAAATCCCAGTCTTATGAACATTCTTCTTAGTAATTTAAAAATAATTCAGTATGTAGTCATTTTGTTTATGGTAACTGGATTTTTGGCGATTTCTTTACTCGGTTTCCGTCGTTCGATGGTGTACGTCTGTAAAATGACGCTTCTATTAGGGCCTTCTACCCAAGCAGTACCTCCCCTTCAGGGTGGTGCTGGGTTATTGCCCAGCGCCTGAGGCGTCCCCAAAAAGGGAAGTGCCGAGAGTGCTTGGGCAATTTTTCCACGGTATTGCCGTTCAAATCCACTTCAAACTACGACCTTGAGTCACACTCGCTAAAAAATAAACGCTTCTCTACCTTTTAAGATCAAAGTGTAGTATCTGTTCTTATCAGCTTAATCTTATTCTCTCTCTCTCTCTCTCTCTCTCTCTCTCTCGATTTTTCTCTTCTCTTCTTTTTTCTTTCTTTCATTTCCTCACTAAAACTAAGTAGTGCATTTTCCTCTCCTTCCACGCGATCAAAACGGATAAACACATTATTTACGAGGTATTGGCAGAGCGTAATGGTTGTGCAAACTAACGAATGAAGGGACAAGCACAATAATAATAATAATAATAATAATAATAATAATAATCTCTTAGATAGGTTAAGGAAATCTTTGTTAAAAGTGAAATAAATAAAATGCCATCTTTTATTTTTATTCTTTTTTTGGACATTCAAAATTGCGCAGATATTTCCTTTACCATTTTTTCTAGTTTTAATTAGTGTTGCCTGGATTGATAATAAGGGTGGGGGTGGTGGTTGTGGTGAGTAGGTGGTCGAGGCAAGAAGGCACAATTTTTTTTTCTTTTTTCCTTCAGTAATTAATCTTTTTTCTAATTCTTGTCTCTCTTCAAACATTCATTTAGAAATTTCATTTTTTTTTTAGTTTCTCCATTGTAAATTATCTTATACCCTTTTCTTTTCTTGTCTTTTTTTCTCTTTCATTTTATCAAGCTTTTTTACCCTATTCACTTTTTGTTTACTTATTTATTCCTGTATTTTTTTCTTTCTTTCGTCTTCATCTTTTTCTTCACCTCATTTACGAACCTCCTGATTTATTCTTTTCTAGGATTTTCAATTCACTCAACATTTTTCTTTCTTCTTCATCATTCAATATTTGGCTTCTACATGCTGTGTATCAGCGTGATTTTTCTCTCTTTTTCTCCTTCCATTCTTTCTAAGTTTCTCTTCTTTCCTTCTTTATTCTCTTCCTTCTTTATTCTTTTCCTTCTTTCTTGTTCTCTTCATTCCTTCTTTATTCGCTTCCGCCATTTTAATTCTCTTCAATACTTCTTTATTCTTTTCCTTTCTTCTTCCTTTCTTCTTTTTCTTTTCCTTCCTTCTTTATTACTTTCCTTCTTTACTTTCTTCCTCTCTTTATTCTTTTCTTTATTTTATTTTCTACCTACCTTCTCTATTCCTTTTGTTGCAGAATTTATGCTAAGTAAAATGTGTCAGAAGGTGAAATTGTGTGAAGGCCTAAAATGTGCGTGTACATTATGCATTTATCCACAACAAATAAATTAAACAAACATTTGAAGACAATACAACTTGAAGAAATCAAGGAAAAACAACGTAGTTATAGATTTCAACAATAACATGAATTTATATATATATTTGACATACACAAAGTGATGATAGGTTGCTTGTTAAACGTGGCAAGTGAGATAAGATTGCAAAGAGTGTCCATGCAGAGATTTGGTCAATGAATGTTGATGGTTTAAGTTTGTGAAATTAAAGCTGTTTGATTTCTGCAAGGTAAAATGTCAATTGTGTGAGTTCAAATAATAGTGTGTATGTGTGTGACAATTGTAAGTGTTGATTCAAGTTATGAAGAGTTGTATGCCTTTGACTGATGTGCTAAAGTTGATTAAATGTACAATTACTATTTCGTAGTGATAATGTCACTTTTTTAGTAAATTGTAAGTTCACGCGGCAATAGTAGTGCGAGTTGTGTTGAGTTGATGAGAGGCTGGTAGTGTTATTGAGTCAGTGTGTTGGCACGCGTGGAGTCTGCTGGCATCTCTCGAAACTCAGTGTCTGACTGCTTGAATCAAGTCGAGCGATTCTTTTTTTTTTATAGATTTTGGGGTTTTCAAATAGGCTCCAGTCAGCTACGTGGGAAAAAAGGATTTATCTCAACTTGCTACATTTTTGTGTTCTTTTAACCAATGGGAAGTTGAGTTTGAAAAAGTGAAGTGATGATTGGTTAAAGGTTAATTTGGGGAAGAGTGCATCTTCCTGAAGGGGTGACAGGCAAGTATAGAGGACTCCATACTTTCCTTCCTTCTTTATTATTTTCCTTCTTTCTCTTCCTTCCTTTTTTATTCTCATCCTTCATTATTTATTCTTTCTCTTTCGTTTTATACTCTTCTTTCCTTCTTTGTTCTTGTCCTTCTTTCTTTATACTTTTCCTTCCTTCTTTATTCTTTTCCTTCTTTATTCTCTTCCAATCCTCTTTATTCTCTTCTTTCTTTTTTAATCTCTTTCTTCTTTCTTTATTCTCTTCATTTCTTCTTTATTCATTTCCTTCCTTCCTTATTCTCTTTCTTCCTTCTTTATTCTTTTCCTTTCTTTCTTTATTCTTTTCCTACCATCTTTTTCTCTTCATTCCTTTTTTAATCTCTTTCTTCCTTCTTTATTCTCTTCCTACGATTTAATTGTCTACTTTCCTTCCTTATTTTCTTTCTTCCTTCTTTATTCTTTTCCTTCCTTCTTTATTTTCCTCCTTCCTTCTTTATAATTTCCTTCCTTTTTCATTCTATTCATTCTTCCTTTATTCTCTTCCTTCCTTCTTCATTCTCTTCACATTCAGTCCAAATCTTATAAAAACGTTTTATTATTCTCTGGAATTAAGGAAGCAAAATGAAAACAAACAGAACCATTCTTGTCTCTGTTGATGTTGCATTTTGGGTGTGCGCGCGCGCTGATGTGTGCGTGTGTCTGTCTGCGTGTGTCTGTCTGCGTGTGTCATTTTATGTACCTCTCAGTGTGTGTGTGTCTTCTTTTTAATTGTCTGTATGTGTCTCATTGTATGTGTTTCTGTGTGTCGTTTATGTGTTTGTGTCTTTTATGTGTGTGTTTGTGTGCGTGTGTCATTTTATGTGTCTGTCTGTGTACGTTTGTGCGGGTGTATCCTGTTATGATTGTGTGTGCATGTGTGTGTGTGTGTCCCCGTGTCTGTGCCTCTCCGTTTGTGTGTTCGTGCATGACTGTCTGTCTGTTTATTTTGGTTGACTCATATCCTTCATATCAAATTCTATGCAAATATTAATAAAATTATGTTATACTTTAATTCATAATAATTGTAATAAATTTTTTAAACAAAAAACATTACATGCTTGAATGACAATTCATTTGAAATGTACATAGCAGTTATGTTCATGAAATTGTCTTAAAAGGATTTTAGCAGGTATATATATATATATATATATATATATATATATATATATATATATATATATATATTTGATTTATAAATGATAGCCTCTAAATAATGATAATAATTACATACATATATATATATATATATGTATATTTTTGAGTTAAGTGTAGGCTTTTAAAATTGAAATTATTTCGTTTTATTGAATCTATATACCCTTTAAATTCTAGATATTGAAGCTTATTTCAATATATATCTGGTAATTTTAACTCTTGAAAAATAACTGGCAAATTATGGACACACAAGTTGTCTGCCCTTTTTATTAAATACCTCTTATGAACACACAAATAAAAACTATAAATGAATAAATATGTCATACTGAAAGCGATATTTTTTAATACACTAGTAAATCCACGAAGAATTGATAAAATTAAATTTCTACGGTGGAGTAATGCATAGCTGCTCGGGGTGAGGAATCGTAGAGCTGAGTTCGAATTCCAGTCGAATTCATTGCATTCACTTACGTGCTAATACCCTTGGAAAAGGTATGAATCCTCTTCTTCTCCCCACAGCTATGAGTAAATAGTTGGGCAAACCGGGTTCTATAGCCTTGAATGGCAACTAGTCTACCGCAGAAAGAAATGGCAACCTACTGCAGGAAAAAAATCTGTCTCGTCAATCATGTCTCGAAAGATACATGATCGCCTAAGTGTGTATTACGCATGGCGCGTAATTGACTCACTGCTTCTAACGCGATATTTTTTTTCAAAATTATACCAAGTAATTGTTCAGTCCATTCATAAGGCTTATTCTACAAGAAATTCTGTCTTTTTACCATAAAATCTCGAGAGGACTCAAGTGTCAGTCCGTTATCGCCTACCTTTCTTCAAATGCACCCCGACCATCAAATTCAAAGACTTTGACTCCTAATCATGTTAAACCGTCCTGGGTAAGACGATAAGCTACGACCAACAGCAAGGCTTCTGATCAGGAGGTTTTGAGTAACGTGGAACCACCTTTTAATTGCTGGTATTCCCAGGTCTATTCTGACCCGAGATGGCAGCACCTGTTAGAACCCTATTTATGGGCCAATAGTTAACCTCCAAACTGGGGTCAAAAAAATATGAAAGTGTAAAAATAGGTTTTAATACTAGAAATACTTTGTTTAAAATATTATTACGAGCAATAAATTTTTTAAGAAAAAAATTATTACCAGCTATAAATTAAAAAAAAAGAAAGAGAAAATTACCAGCTAAACTTTTTTTTGAAAAAATATTACCAGTGATACATTTTGAAGAAAAAAATATTACCAGAAATAGATTCTTGAAGGAAGAAATATTGCCAGCAATACATTAAAAAAAATATTACCAGCAATAAAAATCTTGTTAGCATTAAATCACCCATCGAGGTTGATACAACGTAAAACAAAACAAACCTAATCACGTTAAAATACTATTTGAAGGTGCAAGACTTATGACAAAGTTCCATGAGAACGAAATTGCTTTAGGCATTGTCGCAGATATTTTCAACGTATTTGGTTTTGACAGCAAAGCGAGAAGAAAGACTAAGCATTAATTAAACAAGTGAAGCAACCAAAGGTGTGAATTTCAAATTTGAAAATGAAGACATCAAAATCAATCAGGTACAGAAATGTAACTCTCTGGGTAGTGTGATAGCAAAAGACGAAGAGTGTGACACCGAGATATGAGGGGGTGGGGAGCATCGGAATGGCAAAGGACGCCTTCCGGAATTTTAGAAAAGCGTTAAAACAGGAATATTTCGTAAGAAGCAAAGACAAGCGTACTCAAATGCTATAACAAATCTATACCCCTCTATGAAATTGAATGCTAGATAATTTACTCAGGGACGAAGAAGAGAGACCTCAAGCGATAAAGATGTAATTCTCAGACGGATGTTGAACTTTTACTATGGACAGGCACGTGAGAAACGAGAAACCCCTAAAGAAAATGGAAACTAGAACGCCACTTATACTTGCAACCAGAAAGAGACGACTTTTTAGAAATTATGAGGAAAAAAGACGGTTTGGTTTAATACTCACAATATGTAATGAGAGGGAGAGAAGGAGAGTAGAACAGTGAGCAACCTCCCTAGGGAGATTGCGTAAATGGATGGCTGAGCAGGAACAAGGAGGTAGTGCAAAGAATCAAATATTGCTTAGAGTTACAAGGGACAGGAAGTTGTGGAGAGCCATGATCACCTACGTCCTGAAAGGACGCGGCACGTAAATGATGATCATGATGATATTTAGTTTATATTATTTATTATATCGCTGACAATAATTTTCTTATTACCAAATAGACACCCGCTGCTGTTTTTACTTTTTAGTATTGCTAGAAGTACTTTCCGGAGGTTGTTGCCTTATTAGACTAAAAGAGTATTATGCAGCTGCACAATCTTCGCCCATATTTCAGGTTACAAAATGTGTTATTTTACCTAAATGCAACAATATGCAAAAGAAAAATATGAACATTATTTTACTTTGTTGTTGATAAATTACGTGTAAAGGGTTCCTTTCCTTCAGCGCCCCTAAAGCAGATGATGACGGTGGTGGTGGTGGTGGTGGTGGTCGGTGGTGTGGTGGTGGCTGGTGATGGTGGATGTTGTTGTTGGTGGTGGTGATGAAATATTATCGGATAAAGAAATGTAGCGTTGTATTGAAATTATCCTCATCATTTAGACTGAAAATGACATATTTTGTTCTGATCTGGGGAGTTTAATTCATAAATTTTTAAGAGGCAGAAAAGTTACAATTTAATAATACACGCAACTCTCAAAAGTCAGAACTATAAACATAGGCATATTTCAGAATATGTCTTAAACTCATTTGAAAAAGGAGAGTTCTTGCATGTGTTTGTAAATAAAATCGATCAATCAATACATATAAAGAATTAACAGCACATCTTCAATGTCTTCATATCTATCTCCTTTGTCTCTCTTTTCCCCCTCTCTCTCTCTATATATATATATATATATATATATATATATATATATATATATATATATATATATATATATTAGATTTTACAACAAAAACATGTAAGAATCACACGTTTTCGTTGTAATATCCTAAAATAAATAATATTGACTACGATGTATAGAGCCCTCTTTTAAATTAAATGTTACGAACGTTGGAAGTGAACTCTATTCGTTATCATCGTACATCTATATGTGTGTATATATATATATATATATATATATATATATATATATATATATATATATATATATATATATATATATATATATTATGAAATAGACATAGTCCGACAATTATTTTAAGACATTTTTATGTTTATACATTCTTTTTATAGATACAGAGCATTTACTTAAATATTTGTATCTATAAAAGAATGTATAAACATAAAAATGTCTTAATATATATATATATATATATATATATATATATATATATATATATATAATATTTATATAGAAAATGTTCAATAGATAACTAAATATCGATAAATGGATATGAATAGAATGAGATAGATAGATAGATAGATAGATAGATAGATAGATAGATTTAAGTACAGAAAGACAGAAATACGAAAGCGCTGATATAGACATTAGATACACGCACGCACACGCCCACACACATACGCGCGCACATAACACAGTAAACTTATATATATACAAGTTTGGTGTGTACATGTGTATCATATATCCATCTAATTTTACTTTTTTATTTACGCATTATGTGGTCAGCCTACTTTTTTGCCAGAATTTGATTTTCTTTTCAGCAGGTGTGCTCCTTTTCTTTCCTCCTCTGTCCACCTTCATCCTGCTTCAACACCAGATTCCACCATGACCGAATTTAAGGCCAGTTGGCTTCTCCACACTTTTCCCATTGGGTGGTCGAGCGTGATTTAGGAGCCGTCCTAGAGATAGAGAGACAGCTAGCCCTATTGGGCAGGGACACATGTGGGGAAGGTTCTATTGAAATCAATATGGTAGGCCCTGATTGAATCTGTTAAACACAGCTTTCACTGTTCATGAGCCACACGTGTGTGTGTGTGTGTAAAAACAAAGGTATATAGATACATAGGCTAATATATAAATAGACACAAATTATAACTTTTTCCCATATGTGTATGTAAGTATATCAAAATCATACGCCATCATTATATATATATATATATATATATATATACACACATATACACATATATACATATATATATTTGTATATATACATACATATATATATATATATATATATATATAGAGAGAGAGAGAGAGATAGATTTGTATATATCT